TTTCTCTTTCTCTTTCTCTTTCTCTTTCTCTTTCTCTTTCTCTTTCTCTTTCTCTCTCTCCCTCTCTCTCTCTCTCCTTATTTTGTTGTGTTTCTCTACTCAGACACTTGTCTATCTCCTTCTATGCTATCCTTTGTTCCCTTCCGATATGTGCCCTGTCCTCTCTCTTTTTCCATCTTTCTCTCTCACTCTCTCTTTCGATATCTCAATGTCTGATTATCTCTGTCCGTTTCTCTGTCTGTCTCGTGCTATCGCTCTCCATCTAGTTCTATCCCTACCTCTCTTTTCAATCTCGAGATGTCTGTTTCTTCATCTCTCTCCTTTTCTATCCTTCTCCATCTGTCTATTTAACTCCTTCATTCTCTTTCAGTGTATTGCAGTATTTCTCTGTCAGTCTCTCTTTTACACACTATGATCATTCGTCTCTGTCTTACTCCTTCTCTCTCTCTCTCTTTTTCCTTTCACTATCCGCGTTTCTATGTCTCCCACTCATTGTCTTTCAGTGTATTTTAGTTTTTTCTCTCATTCTCTTCGTCTTTCTCTTTCTCAGTCTCTCTCACTCTGTCTTTCTTTCTCGCTGTCGCTATCTATAGCTTCCTCTGACCTCCTCTGTCTCTCTTTCTCTCGTGATGCCTGACAAATATTACGATTTGCAAAAATTTTAAATATAATATAGCTCTCAATTTGATCTTTTCTTATCTCCAAACTTATATCTAGTCATATTTAATAGCCAATATCCAGCTAGCAAACTGACTTCCAACCAAAAATGGAATTGAATTCCCAAAGAAAAGTTCAATTAGTTTGGGTTTGTTTACGCTTTAAGTAGTTTTTAAGCAGCTGCTGGCGATCGAAATGCGGAATCGTGGTGCAGATAATGAAGAGCCAACCACAAGCAGGAGGGAGAGACAGAGAGAGAGAGAGTGAGCGTGAGAGTGAGAGGGAAGATGCCTGGTTAGTCTCAGCTTCAGCCAGAGCTGGGCGCTGTGGGGATGTCAATGAGCGGGGCGAATGCCGAGAGCCACCATAAATAATGGTAAATTGACATTTAGACGCACATGGAAGGAAGTTCAACATAGTTGTGGGTACCGGGCCGTGTGTTGCATGCAGCTTTTTTTCTTTTTTTTTTATTGTGGTCGGACGTTGTTGCATGGAAAGCAACAACTGAAGCAAAGGCCAAAGCAAAGGCAACAACAACAACAACAACAACAGCTAACGCAAAAGCAAAAGGCATTGCCAAGTCTTAGTTGCTGTTACTTGATGGCCATGATGACGCCATCTGGCGGCCGGTAGCCATTGGCCATTGGCCATTGGGCATTGGCTTGGGTCAATTAACAATTTGGGCCACGACCCTGCCCCCTCGAGTCGAGAGAAAGCCGCACTGAGCCAAAATTCATTCGTCATAGCCACAGTTACACATATTTCAAATCATATTCAAATTTTGTTAATACAAATTGTTTTCTGTTATTGAGCTAGGGTTTACCAAAAATGAAAGGCCAGACACTCTTTACTCTCTACTCTTGTTTTTTGAGCAGTTATTAAATTCTACTAAGACAATAAATAATTTACTTTTTTAATATTTATTGAAATGCTTAAGAAAACTCTATTTTGCATATTTAATTTAAAAAGTTTTATTAATATATATAATGAAAATATTCATCAAACACTATAGAAAATGTACCAAGTACATTGTACTTATATTTTATACTCTTAATATACAATTTTTTTATAAAACAAAATGAAATAAAAATTCAAAAAATAAAAATAAAAAATAAACAAATAATTAAAATAAAAAAATAAAAAATATTAAAATATTAATTATAAAAAATATATATATTAAAAAGATAAATATACATATAAATATTAAAAAAAAGTACAAATAAATATACATATATCATAAAATACATATATAATATGCATATGTATATATGTATATATACATATATATTTTAGTTAAAAATTCGACACATATATAATTTTAAATTAATAAAGAAAATAAAAATTCGAAATAAAAATTAATAAAATAATAAAAATATTTATTTGTTTTATATTTTATTATATTAAAATATATTTTTTATATATTATGATAAAATTAAAAAAATATATATATATACAACTTAATAAAAACTATAAAATAAAAGCTATAAAATTAAAAAAAGGAATCAATTTTAATTGAGAATATTTAACATATAATTAACTAACAAATTTATATATTATTATATTAAAATTTATATTTTATTTTATTAAAATATATCTTTTTATATACTATAAAAAATTTTCAAAAAATACAACTTAATAAAAATTATAAAAAAAGCTATAAAAATAAAATAATAATAAGTAATCAATTTTAATTTAGAATATTTAACATACAATCGACTAACAAATTTTTAATCATTTCAAAAAAAAATATTATTAAAAAATATGTATCAAAAACATGTATTCTAAAAAAATTGTCAAAAATATATTTGTTATTTGTTTTAGAAACTATTTGATATAAATTTTTTGTCGGCATATTTGAAGTCAAGGCCCCACAGTGCATGTAGGCCAACATTTAATTGATTTACTTAGGCACTCTTAGTCACATCTATACATATATATATATATATATATACCTATATTCAGGTATTCAGTTTGATATCTGTAGTTATCTGTCGCTGGTATTGTTGTTATTTGGTTGTGCGAGGTTTTGACGTTAATTGGCTTTTAATCTAAGGAAACCACTTGAAATCGCCGAGATTAGCAGCGCGACTCGAGCTATGTGCCGGGCCGCGTAGAGTCGAGTGAGTGCGCATTGTTCTATGCTGGGCTCAGTTAGAGATATGTCGCACATAGTCGCACCATCAATGGCTGATTCATTTATTTTGCAATTATGTCGTATCTATGTGAATCTGTCATTGGGCCGATTAGTCAGTTTCAGTTACGGTCGGGCTTTCAATCGCAGAGGCGCACTATCACGTCAAAGGGGCGGCCAGCTGATAACCGATATCAATGGGACCGTTATATAATTTCGAATATATTTCATTCCCTGATCGTCACACTCAAGACCTCTGCTATCGATGCTCTCTGTGTAAATAGCCTCGGAAATATTCCATGCTATGCGTGAGCTGAGCTCCTCCTTATGCGACTAATAACTTCATTTCGATTTGCGTCTGTCGCTCTATGGGCAAAGAGTTGATTACCTGCTTAAGTGTTTGCCTGTTACGCTCACCTGCTGGCATTGTTTTGACGCCGGCCAGACCTTGGCCGTGACTCGCCTAACCGGCTCGGCTTAATAATGGATCTCGGTCGCCGCTAACCGGATCAATAGGCCCAATCATTTACCGGGCCGCTCCAATTTGGCCAAAACTAATGGTTGCCATCTCGCCGCGAGGCATTCAATTTATGAGCTGAAAAGTGAAATGGAAAATTGATTGCGCGCTGCCTGCACTGGGCGAAAATGTGTGCCACAAACTAGTCGAGCTGCTCTTCTCTGCGATTTTCAAGTGCAACTCCTCTGAGGCAAAGTGGAGGTTTCTCACATCATTGTTTGCCTCGCATCTCGTGTGACTTTACTTTTCCATCAGTGGGTGTATGTGTGACCAACTCTCGTTTTTAAATTAACTGCCCTTCTATGCGCTTCTCAAATGCATTTCGAGCTTCATGTGGACGAAACTTCGCTGCATTAGATTTGAAGTTCGCTCGCCTTGACTTTTTCAACATTGTTGCTCTTCTATGCGATTCTCAAACCAATGCTACTCAGTAAATGAGCTTCCCTTGTGCTTGAGACTTGTCTGAAGTCGGAGTAAGAATCACCATAGCAGTCCTTAAGATCTTCATCTCGTTTTGATGTTACTCTTCTTTTCTTTCAGTGTATGTTGACTTTATGTGCAGCTAGCTCTCATTTTCAATTACACTGCTCTTCTCTGTGATTTTCATTAAGCGTGAGACTTGTTTGAGTTGGAGTAGAGGTGGGCGGCTTTTTCATTTATTTGTCTCGCATCTCGTGTTACTTCTTCTTTTCTGTCAGTGTATGTTGAGCTTGTTGTGCGCAACTCTCGTTTTCAATTTCGCTGCATTTCTTCATGATTTTTAAATGCATAAGAGTTTTTTTGCCTTGTTAAGAGTAGAAGCTGTAGGATTTTCAGGCTTTCAGTCTTAAGGTTCTTCAGTCTCCTCTTTTCGTTCAGTGTAGCTAACACATCAGCTGCCCTCCTATGCGATTTTCAAATTGTCAGAGCCAGGAATTGACCTAGAACTGTTTAGGTTCCACATTTCACGTATTTGTTGCTCCTATTTTCTCTCAGTGTACTCTCAGTCTCATCCTCCATCCATTGTTCTCATTGCAGGCAATTCGCAGCCAGCTGACAACTGCTTTGGGCGTGGCGCTGGCAGCGCTGCTGGTGACCGCTGCCGTTGCGCTGTCGCCGCCGCAGCCAGCTGATCACCTGGTGCCGCCGCCCGCCCCACCATCGCCGGCGCTGCCTGTGGCCCAGCGACTCACACATGCCGGCTACTCGGAGCCACAGCCACCCGAAGGTGGCTTCATGACGCGCGTCGCCCGCTGGTTCGGCCTGGGCGGTCCGGGCTCAGCGCCGCGCGATCAGCAGCTGAGCGCCAGCGGGCTGAGCTATGCCTATCCGAAGCCGGCGCAGCATTTCACAGCGGACGGCAAGCCGTGCGGCCTGTGCAACAAGTATCCCTGGGTGCCCATGTTCGGGCAGCAGCAGCAGCATCAGCAGCAGCCGCCGCCACCGCCGCCGCCTCTGCAGCTGCATCAACAGCAGCTGCCACAGCAGCAGATCTCTGCCTGGCAGCACCACCAGCAGCCCTTGGCGCAGGCCTCGCAGCATCGCCAGCGCGCCGTCCAGTTTCAGGCGCCACCCCAGAGCGTCTTTCTGCCCATCTCGCTGCCCGTGCCCGGACTGAGCCATGTGGCCATGCCTCCACTCTACAATGCGCAGCCGTTCCGACCGCTGCCACAGCCACAGCCGCAGCCGCAGTCCCAACAGCCTCATCTGTATCCGCTGGAGAATGTTGGCGCTCACTCGGAGCTGCGACCTGTGCCCGCGGTGCCATCGACGACGCCTCAGCCGCCGCCGCGGCAATCGAGCAGCAGCAGCAGCAGCAGCTTTGAGATTGTGCAAAGCCATCAGCTGACAGATTTCGTCACCTCCGTGGAGTATCCGGCCACCTATGTGCAGTCGCATGCCATTGACCTGGGCCAGACGGCAACGGCAACGCCAACGGCCACGGCGCTGCCCAAGAATCACAGACCTCTCCACCAGCTGCAGCAACAGTTGCAACAGCAACACCAGCAACAGCAGCAACAGCAGCAACAGCAGCAGCAGCAACAGCAGCAGCAGGAGCTGGATATCAGCACTGTGCGCTATCAGCTGGAGGATCTGAGCAGCGGTGCAGTGCATCAGCATTTGCCCGCCTCGCAGCTGCTCACGGAGCTGGGCCACTTTACGCCCATCACCGTGGAGACGCCGACAACGCAAATTCCGGCCGCAGACAACTATCCGGCCGCATCGTCACAGCAGCAGCAGCAGCACGAGGAGGAGCAGGAGCAGCAGCACCTCTACTATGCCGAGCAGTACCAGGACCTGGCCGAGACGAGCACCGTGACGCCCGTGTACGAGTCGCTGGTCTACACCACGGAGCAGCCGGCGCCGGTTCCAGCGGCCGCTGTCGAGCTGAACAATCATCTGGTGCCGCATGGACGCGATGGACGGCAGCGGGAGACGCCCAAGCGGCTGCTCGACTCGCCGATCAATCATGGCCAGGCGCACGGTGCACCGCCGCCACGCCCCTTTACCCGAGATCCCGCCGAGCTGAGCTTCCGGCACGACGAGCCGACGCAGACGCAGACGCAAGCGCCGACGCCGACGTCCACGTACGGTGCCATCGATGCCAGCGGACAGTATGCGGGCATGTCGCCGCCGGGGCCACAGCAGGTGATCATACCGTATACGACCAAGCAGAAGCCACGCCCCTTCGAGCCGGTCAACTGGACGCCCGGCTGGCGGCTGCGGCCGAGCCAGGAGAACGAGCTGCACGAGCAGCAGGAATCGAAGCTGGTGAGCACGTCCGCGGTGACAGTGGCTCCACCACCGAACACGCGTCGCACCACCAAGTATCTGACCAAAATCCTTGCCTCCAATCTGCGCGAGCTGCTGAAGCGGGAGCGCGAGACGAAGCGTCGGCCCGCCCACTTTGGCGTGGACATCTCGAAGCTGCAGCACAACATCGACGGCTGGACGGAGCAGGAGTACAATTCGCTGTCGCACCGGCCCAGCACGCCGACCATCCGTGGCCGCTCCAAGCACATACCCACGGAGTACCTTACCACCACGACGCCGGCGACTCCGACGGCCACATCGGCGGCCCTGCGTCAGTCGAAGACGACGCGCAGCGGTGCCGCCGGTGGCTTCGAGCTGGGCGGCGGCGCCACCTCGAGCCTGGGCAGCGCCGGGGACTTGTCCACCTCGATTAACAATCTGGAGCAGCTGCATCTGCGACGCTTTCCGCCCGTCGAGGACAATCGCCTGCTGCCCGACTATTACGAGTCGTCGCATCGCACCACGCCCATGCCCACTGTCACGCCCACGGCGACAACGACAACGCCAGCGCCCACGGCGGAGACGACGCGCGACTCAATCACGCCCCTGTACACGCGCACCACCGCCTCCACGCCGGCGCCCGTCGAGCTGTGGAAACAGGCCAAGGTGGCCATTCTGCCCCAAACCAACGAGAAGGTGTACGTCGTCACGCCACAGCCGCGCCATCAGCCCCAGCACAGCGAGCTGGCCGCATCCGCCTCGGTGCCGGCTCCGGTCTACCAAACGCCAGGGCCTCGATTTCCACGTGTGCGACCCACTCCAGCTGCGGCAACAGGTAAGGTCACACTGCATAGGCTTACTAACTGCATCTAAGGCCACTGAGGCTGCTTCCCGTGCTTCACATTGGGCCCAACACTCGCTCATGAAGTGAGCTGGGTATATATATAGGGTTTGCCTATCCGTCTATAAACTCTTAAGCTAGCTTTACCTAGGGTCTATCTAGCATATAGGGCAATGGAGTCTGCTTCCAGAAACTTTGTTGCATTATCCTCTCATGCTCTCTCACCTAGTAAGCTGGGTATATTAACTGCGGCTATCAATCTGTGCTCTATTGAAGCTGTTTGGATCTGGCATAATGAAGTTTGGATATCCTACTTTACCTTTTGATATATTCTCACTTTATACATGCTCATAAAGAGAACTGGGCATATTGGTTTTGTCCGCTTGTTTGCTGAAGCTAGAGATCAAAAAGAGGCCAAATTAGAAATATTTCTCTGATATGTGGAAGGCCTTTTGGGGCATGGGATTACAACAACTCAGTGCTAATCCATCCCATTAGGATAACCTAAGATTATATGATAATTTTAGTACATATCTTTAATCGTACACCCCTCTCTCTCCCACTTCTCCTCTTTGTCCCTTTCTCTCTCTTCTCGCAGTCACCAGCGATGTAATGGCCGCCACGCCCACGCCCGCCACGGAACAGGTGCGCAACTATACGCCGGACATATTTGGCTTGATGGGTCTGTCCGCCTATGTGCCAGCGGAGCCTGTGGAGATCATTGATGGCAATTCCAAAGTAAATCGCAATGCAGCAAACCGTTGGCTTTGATACGTAATCATAATGTTTGCTTTGTCTCGAACACACTCATACAAACGCACACACACACACACACATTCATGATTCATCACTGCATTCGCATCCGCTCATTCGACACTCACTCACACACACACACACTCAGGTAATCACAATTGTGACAGCGGCGCCGTCCGCGGCTGCGCTGCAACGGCCAACACCAAAGTCCACGATATCGCCTAGACCCAGATAGAGTCCATGCCAGGACGCAGCCCGCCAGGACTCAGCCGGAGCAGAGATCAGAGAGCAAAGAGTTCCTGAGTTCCGATTTCCCAAAGCGGTTCCATTGACCCGAGCGGCGCATCTATTGTAATATATTTCCCCAGGCCGATTCGATGGATGGATGCACCTGACTTATCGTGTTGCGAATTTATTTTGTAAGCCTTAAACCAATTTTAGAGTATTTTTGCATTTGGTAGCTTTACACGTACACTTAGTTTTATCCGTATTGGTAATGTGTTTTACTACTACAGTCTATATATACATTTTTTTTGTTTTTTTTTTTTTTTTCGTGACGTGAACTTTAATTGTATTTCAAATATATACATATATATAGGTAAATATATATATATACATATATATGTTCGTAGCAATATGGAAAGTCTAGTTTGGCCACGCCCCATTGTCACGTGCGTGTGGGGGCGGCTGCGCAATGTGTACGTATGTTTCTAATTACTTAAGCGGAATAAAGAGATAAAAAAAAACACAGGAAAATGAAGAAATAAGCTATTGAAATGCTATTATAAGACATATAAAATGCGAATCAAAGTCACTTTTATGTATCTAAGCTGAGAAAATTGCAATTTTATCAATATATTTAAATAAACGTAATATTTGTACGTGCCTTGATTTATTCCTGTATTTAATATTGGAGCTGCCTAAAAGTATGCAACAAAAATGTGAAGCAGTTGAATTAGCTGATATTGTGTAGCGCATAAAGGTATGCTATAAATTTTATTATTTGACTGCAAAGCTAAGGATTTGTCAGCTAGTATAATATGTACATATGTATTTGTGCATAGTTTACATAAGAGCTTAGTGCTAAAAAATAATAATATATTTTTTAAATATTGATATTAATCAACTGGCCAGCTTGCGTCTTTGGCGTCGCAGCAGCGCCTCCAGGACCCACAAAGCAGCAGCCAAAAAGGACAGCGCATTGAGGCAGTGCAGCGCCACCGAGTAATTGAAGCGATCGCGCACTAGACCTGCATGAATCAGATGAAGATCAAGATATGTAGAACAACATAGATAAAAAAACAGCTACAGCTACTAATACAGATACAGATACAGATACAGATACAGATACAGATACAGATACAGATACAG